CACACACACACACACACACACACACACACACACACACACACACACACGGGATCTGGTTCTCCGCTCTCCTGTTAAATCCTAATTCAGAACACTAACTGAAGCGGCTGGAGAGATGGCTCAGCAACTAAAAACGCTTGCGCTGAGCGATAGCGAGGACAGAAATTTGGATCCCAGCATCCAGGTAATAATCCAGGTGCCCTGCAAATGCCTGCTCACAACCCTAGCTCAGGGGATGAAGGGTAGAGAGGTAGGAGGATCAGGGGCACAGACAATGTGAGCCCCGACTTCTGGGAGAGACCCTGCCCCAAAGGAAAAGGGAAAAGTAATGAAGGCCTCTTCTGGCATCCTCGTGTGCCCAGAGGTGAGCACATACATGCACTCACGCCACACACACATGCACGTTCACATACAAACACACACTACACACACACACACACACTCATGCCACACGTGCACAGATGCTTTTAATGTGTACTAACTGGGCTAATGAGACGGCTCCCTGCCAAGCCCGGGCGGGAACCTGAGGTCACGCCAATGGACTCAGGACCCCAGTGACAGAAGTCCTGAAAGTTGTCCCCTCACAGTCACCGGCCCCTTCCACCCACCCACCGCACGCACATCCGTGCTGACACAGCAATTAGATAAATAAAATCCACTTTATTTATCTAATTGCTTTAATTTCCAAATACAGACTGGAGAGTCCTTCGGAAAAAGTCTTAGATTGGTATGCCAAAAGAGAAATAGGAGAATATTCTTTTCAGGGATGTGACTCAGCAACAAAGATGAAATAAAATAAAACGAGGGTTCACTATTTCAAAGACAGTTCAGGTTTGCGGTGGGTAGGGGTCTCCTTGACGCTGGCGTCCCCAGATTGAGCAATGTGCCCCTGCGAACGGTAACCGTCATTTCCTCTGCTTTCCCCCTTGAAGACATGACAATGGATGAGGTGCGAGAGTTCGAGAGAGCCACCCAGGAAGCCACCAACAAGAAGATCGGCGTGTTCCCGCCTGCCATTTCCATCTCCAGCATGGCCCTGCTGCCCTCCTCCGTGCGCAGCGCGCCGTCCAGCGCCCCGTCCACCCCGCTCTCCACCGACGCGCCCGAGTTCCTGGCCATCCCCAAAGACCGGCCCCGGAAGAAGTCCGCCCCAGAGACGCTCACGCTTCCAGACCCGGAGAAAAAAGCCACCCTCAATTTACCCGGCGCCTACTCTTCCGAAAAGCCATGTCGGCCCAAGTCAGAGTAACTTCACGCGAACATCCCATTGGGTCTTATCTTTTCATTTGAGGCTTTTTTTTTTTTTTCTTTTTCTTTTTTTTTTTTGGACTCCTCTGGTAGAGGAAAAGACTGCCTCGTCGCTCAGATGTGCTCTTTGATCTCGAATTGTGCATGTGGTTTCAATAATTTCACAGATAGCAAGAATCCCTAACGGGGGTTGAGATGTTAAGACTTGGAACGAAACGGGAGGGGCTGAGGACGGGGCTCAGGGGGTAGAATGCTGCTGCAGCTTGCGTGAAGCCCTGGGTTCCTTCCCCGGCAATGGTAGACTAGGCAGGAGGATCAGAAGTTCAAGGTCAGCCTCAGCTGTGTAGAGTTTGAGGCCAGCCTGGGTTGTAGGAGACCCTGTCTGGAAAACAAACGACAACAAACCCACAGAGTCATCTATACCTTTAGATGTGGGCGAGGGAGGAGGCCTGGTTTTGGGGGGAGGCCTCCATGTGTTTGATGTGGGCCTCGACGGTCAACAGGTGAATAGATGGAAAAACATGAAGCTGGTTTTTTGGTAAGGTGTGGTAAGGTAACAAAGTCAGTTTCCTCCCATCAAACCTGAAATTCTCAACAACAACAACAAAAATACTCTCAGGTATCATATACCTAATTGTTCAATTTTGGACTGCTGACCACCAATACTTGAACTCCAGTTGTTATCAATATTCCTACTTTGATTAGTCTGACTCAGGATTTGGGGCCTAATTAACTTCTTAAATTTTTGAAAATTTTAATGACCAACTTCTAGGGGGCTCCGAGTGCAATTAATGATAACTTCTTTATACCTTTTCACGAAATTTAATAAAGAGCCCATCTGTTCTGTCTCTTAGCTTCCCCTTCCCTGCCCTGGTGGCTTCTCAGATCCTTCACACTTGCCTGCATGACTGTGACCACAGCTGATACGATGTGGGATGTTTTGGAAACCGAGAGCCCCAGGGGAGACAAGCGTCCTCTCTTTAGGTTCCGACAAAGCTTGACCTGTGAGCTTTCATCATTCATTCCGATCCTCTGAAGTTTCAGAGAGCTAAATAGAATTCATTGGCAATCTCCCACTTACGGAGGCTCAGAGGGGACTGCCTGGGTTTACCTACTGCTGGAAGGTCTGGTGTCTGAACCATGCAAAAGAGAACCCTCCCCTCCTGGCTTACTCTTGGGAGCACCCAGACATCCGCGGTATGGTACCCATCACCAGGCTTTTTCCTTCCTTTCAACACGGGGGGCCAGGGCATAGAGTTCTTGCCTAACATGTAGGAGGCCCTGGGTTTAGCACTCTGCAAAAATAAAAAAAATAAAATAAGAAAACAATCCAAATATCAGCAATGTCTCAGGAATCCAGGAAACACAGCTAAGTGGAAGGAGGCAGAGAGTAGGACCACTGACTCCTGTTTGGACAGAGGCATAGTCGTAAGTGTCCTCTTGCTCTCATCGCTGAAAGAAGTGGGAATGCCAAGAGTCAGAGTCTAGGCCAACTGCTGCCAAGGTCAGACACCAAGGTGGCAGAAAGAGAAACCTGTCCCGTTGCACTTCACTGCCTTTAAACCCACAAGGAGAGGAAGCAGAGTGTCAGCATTGAAGGAGAGGTGGCTGGGGAGCTCCAGAGCCTGAGTCCTAGCTGTCCTTCCTGACTGTGACCTCCAACCTCACAAAGGAAACGACCCCCAACACAGACCCCTAAGGAGACAGAACGGACCAGGGAGTCTGTTCTCCCTCCCTGCCACCTCCCTCCCGTAGACCCTGCCCAAACCCTCTCTTGAGAGTTCCATGTCTCCTGGGTCCAAGCCCTCTCCCAAGGCACAGGTGCTGCGGCCCCCTCAAGCCCAGCTCCAAAGTGCTTAGAGTGTCTAGATCATTTCTTTTTTCTATAGGTGGACGTCATGCCCAGCGCTCAAAAGAGAGCAATTGCAAATAGCTTAGTGTGACAGCCAGCGTAACAGTGCATCTTTTCCTTAAGGTGAGAGCACCTTAGTAGGGTCCCCTTCTTTGCATGGTATGGAAGCATGAATCTTGCTTGTGGGAAAACTTAACCTTTTCTCGAACCCTTTGGACTTCTCAGTGGTTCCCTCTCCACGCAGCTGTACTCAATGAGAATATCTGGCTTAAAAAAAAAAAAAAAAAAGGCAAAATTCCACTTTCAGAAGGCTTGGAGATCATGTATGTATCTGCTTACCATTTGCAAGCTGATGTGGGCTGGGGCAGGCTCTTTGGTTTTCGTGTAGTACAGAATTGATTCTGTGCGGGTGGCTAGACCATCTGGCACCTGGCTTTTCCATTAATACTGTGCCACTTTCCCTTGGCTCTGTCTGCTTCTGTTGTCAAGGTCACTTTCAGAAAGTCTGGCTCACTTTCAGAAGCTACTTTCCGATCCCCTCTTTTGCAAGCTCCCATTCCACTGTAGTCGGCCCAGCGCCTTTGACGCCAGTTGCAGCGCTAACCTGTGCTAGCGGGATTTGTAACCAACACGTGGGTGTTCAGTTTTTCTGTCTACATGTGGTTTGTGTTTGTAAATAGGGAAGGGGTGGGATTCTGGATCTGTTTCACTAGCTGCTTTGACTATTTAATTCAGTCACCGCAAAGCATAAATGACTTCAGTATTTTCTGAGTCTTGATTTCCGAGTGTCGTTTCGCCTTGTCCTTACATGATTCTGCTGTTGTGGGGTACAAGCCTTCAATGAATGTGTACATAGAACATGAAACAGTTCTTGTAAGGGTGGAAGCAAGATGGCTGCATGATGGACATTTAGGAAGACAAAAAAAAAAAAAAAAAAACATAGCAGAAACTTGAATTTGCTAAGCATGTTCGAGAGGGACCCTTAACTCAGTGCCTCCATCTGCCATGTGGAATCCTTTAACTTTGCTCACCAAAATTGTATTATACCTGTACATATATATACATATATTAAATGCAGTATAGTGGGTCATAGACCACCAGTTCTCAGTCTCTGGTAGCAAAATTTAAGTAGTAACCCATAGGATAGTACATGTGTTTTCCCTTCTTCATCTCTGACGTCGGCGGATGCCACAAAAGTGGCCGTAAAGCCTTTACGCCAGGTGGCTTCCGAATAGGAACTATCCTGTGCTCTGGCTGTGACATCATCGCTTTGTCCGTGCCTTCCCGGATCAAGGCCTTGTGTTGTTCTCGTTGCAGAAAGTCTGTCTGAAACCACCTCCTAGGAGCATTTCCTTTCAAGCTGTAGTAAGAGAAAGCGAAGGGAAAACTGAGCACAAGACAGGCTGTGACACTTTCAGCGGTCAGTTTGTTGGTGGACTTGCTTATAAACCGTTGTCGCTATGTGGGTACTGTGCTAACTTATTGACAGGTGTGTGTCAGCATTGTTTCTGATGGTGGAAATAAGTTAGTTCAATAGTGGACGTCATGAACACAAACACTCCTAACACACACACACACACACACACACACACACACACACACGAGCAAAGGCTGCCAAAATGTCCGAGGGTCAAAGCACTCGCCAAATCTGACAACCGGACTTCAAACCCCAGGTCTCACATGACTGAAAGGAAGAAACTGGTTCTTACAGGTTGTCCTCTGACCTCCACGCAGGTACAGTGGCATGCACAGCAACACACACATGCCTGCATGAGCACATATACACACACACACAAACACATAAAATAAAATCTTAAAAATACAATACAGAACGCTCAATAATACCCCAGAAAAGGAATCATGTGGTTTTCTTTCATAGCCTGTAATGAACTGTAAACTAACAGCCATCTTGGTCTTTTTTTTAATTAATTAATTTTTAAGAATCTCTCTTCAGTGAAAACTTCGGGGCTAATGTGCTTATGAATATTTCCAAATTTCACTTCATTAATTATGTCTTCATTTCTCAGAGACAGCAGGTTAACAGGTCGCCAGCTGGCTTAGACTGATGGGAATTTCTATTTTTTGAAAAGGCCAGCATAGAGTTGACTATCCTTTCCATCTATAAGCAGATGATCCAACCAAGAGCAACTGTCTAGACGGTTCCCATACTTTTCTGGTCGCCTGACTAGCGGGCGAGGTGACAGTCAGTCATGTGAGCCATGGTTGTAAAATAAAAATAAAAATAAAAATTCTGGCCTGGCCTGGCCTATAAGCTGACATGAATCAACTATGGTTAAACTCTTCATTCTCGGTGAGAGCAAAGTGTCACGCCATCACGCACAGACCCCAGACACCCTGGGCTCCTGACTCTGTCCCGCAGGGAACTGCTCAGTCTCCGTAGGACTTCATGCTGTAAGAGAATGTGACTTCCTGGAGAACTTCACAGATGGTGAGGTGCCCCTCAGATGCTCAGAGGAAGCTCCCCCCTTCCCGGAATTCCCAGGCTCCCTTCTTGGTTTCACTGTGCCCCCGAGAAGAGAACGAGGACCTTTTGAGTCGATGGATGCTATCCGTTCGCCTCTTACGTGCCCTTTCCGGCGTGGTTTCCGTGTTTACATTTCTGAGCTGGGTTCCCGATTGGCTACCTTGGTCAAACCACCACTGCCACCGCTGAAGGACCAAGCGTTGGAAGACACCGCGTCGCGAGCCACGCGAGCGGGAGTGAGCCTCACGCACACCCTCCGTGTCCTTTTTATGGCTGTACTGTCGTCGGCGCCCGCCCCCGTTATTTATTATTGTTAATAACTTACTCTTTTCTTACATTCTGTTGTAAATAAAGTTCGAAGCAATCTTCTTCCCGGGCGTGGCTTCCTCTTTCTCAGCCAGCCTCCAGGGAGCGCTGGCCCATGTCGACATCGGTGGACCTGGACGAGGAAGGAAGAAACCAGTTAGTGTCCCCAGCTGTGTGGCTTTGTGTGCAAGGGTTCCCCCACACACACACTGATGAGCCTAGGGTGTCTTACATCCAAGACCCTTGGTAGGAAAAGTCCTCAGGCCCCACATTGCAGAACTCTCAAAACTGTCCTCTCTGACCTAGACACACACACACACACACACACGATAGAGAGAGAGGTGTGATCTTAAGAAACAATGTCACAGTCTGACCTGAAGAGAGAGCAAGCACACTGCTTTGTTTACTCAAGTCCTGCTGGTTGTGTAATAGCAACTCAATTAACTAAAACATGTTTCCTTTTGTATCTCCATCCTCAGCCGTCACACCCCCATCCTGCCTTTTAATTCTGTTCTCAAAACCACGCAAACTTCCCACACGCACGGCTGCTGCTTGGCTCTCAGCCTGCATTCTTGGGCTGAGGCTGCCTCGTGGGGCTAAACTGTACGGGATCGCTAAATGTTTGCACACCTGGTGCTCAGAGTGTAGGCGCCTGTGAAACCCCCGAGTTACTCCTGAGCAGAGCTTTCCATCTGAAACGTCTCTCCACTGAGGCCTGACCTTAGACTTCCGAACACCCACATAGCTGAGATTTTCCCAGCCGTCAGTACAGTCACTACATTCCGCCTCTGACCTCCAGACACACCACGGCCTCAATCAAGTTCAGGGTATGTCCTGTGGCTGACACAGCCATGCGTGACGCTGTCACGGCCAGCGGGGGCTTTGATGGCTTTGCAAGGGCGACCTGAGTGTCCACCAAGACTGGGGTGAGTGGTGGGTCCAGCAAGCTCTGTTTTTTAAGGTGGTGGGTTGACTCATTTTGCCTGACTTTTCCACGCGTGAATTCTCTCTCTTCCATGGTATGCAAGTTAACAGACCACTTGATTCAAGTTCAAAGCTTTAGCTACTCCTCTTCCAGGGAAAGTCCGTGCTCTGGTTATTGTCTGATGCACAGCATACCGAACGTCCTAGAGTTTCTCAAGCTGCAGTGAAACCCTGTGGCCAAAAAGCAAGATGGGAAGGAAGGGATCTATTTGGCTTACACCAGCACTGTTGGTTATTGGAAGTCAGGACAGGAACTCAAACAGGGCAGGAACCGGGAGGCAGGAGCTAGTGCAGAGGCCATGGAGGGGCTTACTCTGCTTGCTGGCTTGCTCCTCATGGCTTGCTCAGCCTGCTTTCTTATAGAACCCGGGACCACCAGCCCAGGGGTGGAACCACCCACATTGGGCTGGCCCTCCCCATCAACCACTAAGAAAATGGAGGCATTTTCTTCATTGAGGTTGACTCCAGCTGTGTCAAGTTGACATACTCTATCCAGCAATTGGGAAGGACAGGGTTTTTCTCAGCTAAACATATTGAGTTCATCACTGAGGGAAGCCAAGGCTCTCCCTGGCTTGTTAAACTCTCTCTCTCTCTGTGTCTCTGTCTCTCTCATTCTCTCTCCTCCCCTCACATGCACACACTTTATTTTATTATTTATTATGTTTATATCTGTGTGTGGAAATGTACGTGTGTGTGAGTGCAATACCCTTGGAGGCCAAAGGAGGTTGTTAGCTGGCAGATGTGGGTGCTGCAAACTGAACTCGGGTCCTCTAGAAGAGCAGCAAGTGCTCCTTACCGCCGATCCATCTCTCTAGCCCCTCAGCTGTCTTTCTGATATAGCCCAGACCCTCTGCCCAGCGATGGTGTCACCCACAGTTGGATAGGCCGTCCTACATCAATTAGCAAGCAAGAAAATGCCCCACAGACATGCCCACAGATCAATCTGAAGAAGGCAATTCCTCCATTGAGATCCCCTCTTCTCAGACATGTTCAAGTTTGTGGGCAAGCTGATAATAAACTAAGCATGGTTAGGAACAGCTTGGCAATTTGCCTTAATGTTCTTGTTCTGTTCCCAGCATGTGAACCAAAAAGAGAGAGAGAGAGAGAGAGAAGAAAGAAAGAAAGAAAGAAAGAAAGAAAGAAAGAAAGAAAGAAAG